AGAGCTGTGGACACTTCCCAGACCACACATGTGGCCACAAGACAAACAACCACTAAAACCCGAACGTCAGGCCCCCAGGAAGACGGTAGCTCTCCAGGCTGAGGTCTTCACACGCAGAATAAGACACAGTCTGAGGCTCCCGAAGACCCACCGTGGGAAGGAGAGGTGGAGGGGAATTTGTCCACTTGCTAAATCTCTTTTTCACAGATGTGTTTAAAAGTCTTTCTTGGTTTCTAAAGCTACTTTGAGAAGGTACAGAGCACTGCGGGGGCAGGCTGTGGCGAAGGCGCTGTGGTCTGTGCTCTTCCGAGTGCTCCATTTAGGGGGCTGGGGCTGGGGCTCAGAGGTAGAGAGCTCGCCTCGCATGTGAGAGGCACTGGGCTCCGTCCTCACAGCACATAAAAATAAAATAAAGATGGTGTCCACCTAAAGCTAAAAAAAGGAATAGTTTTTAAAAAAATTACTCCATTTAGGACAGAAACTTTGTCAGCAATTAGCTCCGCCTCTTGAAGGCGCTCCCTGTGGGCCCCCTGGGTGGCTGAGGCCCACGTTCCACGACCAGCCAAACCCTGGCTTCAGTCCACACAGCCCCCCAGGCCTCGAGGGGCGGCCGGCACGAGTGACGCAGGTTCCACGGACCACGTGACCCCGAAGACCCCCAGTGGAGAGACCCACGTCTGCTGCACCCGCTCAGGAGCCCTGGCAACCAAAGTCCAGGGGAGCCCAGGACCTAGCAGTGATGGAGCTCGGGGCAGGGAGAGCCACTGGGCTGACGGTCTAGGGGACCAGGGATGGAGAAAGCGGGAGGGGTTCTGGGGAGGGCTCCTAAAGAAAAGAGCCAAATGGCGAGACAAAGGAGGTAAGAGGACATGGGGTGGGGGGACGGCGGGGAGAGGGCGGGGCTGCAGCTGCTCACCAAGTCCTGGGCCTGCTGCGTCCAGGGCCCTGGGCAGGAGAGCTGGGAGGAAGGGCAGCCTCTCCCACCTGAGCTGTCCTGAGGTTCCGTCTGAAAAGGTGGCTGCTGCACTTCGCCTTCCAGTCCTGGTTAGAGGTTAATTATGGCCATTCCTGGCCCAAGCATGGCCACCTGTCCGTCAGAAACGTTCCCAACAATGACCTCATCCCTCGCAGCTGCTCCGTCCTCCTGGCCCTGCCTTCCTGAGTCCCAGCTGGCCTGCAGGAGCTGACCTGGACATCTCTCCTGGTTCTCTGCAGGCCCCTCCGGGTCAGTCTCCCAGGTGCCCGCCTCTCCTCCTGCCTGCCTGGACCCTTCTCACCCAGTGGCTGGGTTTTTAAGTACTTATATTTCTAAATTTCCTAATTAGCTCTTCTCAAGATCCTCTACTCTAATTATTTTATAGTTTCAATCTCCTTAATCACATCAATAATTCTTTTAAAAACCTGAGATGCCTTTTTCTGTTTTCCCTATGGATTGAAGTTCTCTGGACCTCAATTTTCATGAACTGTTCTCCTGCATCAGGACATGCGTTCTGTGGGGACTTGGTCCCCAGCTTGTCACAGTGTCCTGGTCATGAGACACTCTCAGCTATGTGCTTGAGATGGCGTTGGGCAGTCTGGCAACGCTGTCTGGATAGTGGCTCTCAACCAGGTCTCACGTGGCCATTTGGGCCAGAGCCCTGTGCCCAGGTTTTAGGGGAGGGTCAGCCTCTGGCCTCTCCTGGACACCAGCATGGCAGCCTTCCTGTCGAGCCCGACTTTGGCCTATGTGCCCGGAGGGGCCAGGGACTCGGCCTGGCTTCCTGGGCAGGTCTCTCCTTGCTCTTCTCACACCAGGCAGGTGAAGACCCTGCTCTTGTTGTGAAATCCACGACGTGTTTCTTGTTTATTTTCCTACCACTTCTACATATTTGAAGCCCAAACCCAGAAGACACGCGTGTTCAAGCCTCCACTTGAACAGGAAGTCAGCAGCTAGCTGGAGGTAGAGGAAGTGGTGAGGTTTTGATGGAATTTGGGGATCACAGAAAAGCCAGGTTTCTTTCAGCCCTTTAGCTCCTTGTGTTGCAGACAGTCCCTCAGCTCTTCTGACTGCTGTGTGGCCACGCTGGCCCCCGCAGGGATGGAGTCTCTTTAGGGTCAGTGCATCTGGCAAGCCGCTCAGCCGCCCCTTCGTTCCTAAGATATTTGTCCAAGAGCAACGCTCTTCAATGTAAACCCGTCAGAGAACGCTTTGGAACTTCTCTGGACACTTTTAAACTAGGAACAGATCCCTTCACCCTAAGATGGGTCAAATCTGGGGGCAGCCTGGCTGCTCATGGTGCCACCGACCTCCACCAGGGCAGGGGAGTGCCTGGCAAGTCTGCCAAAGGGACGGGTCCCCCCAGGTCAGAGACGGCTTGCAAGCT